TAACACTATTTAAAAGTCTTGAATTCTATTAAAAGAGAAGTAGCTAATTCTTAAAGTAGAAAAGTAATTAATTCACTTACAATTCAAAATGTTCCTCCCAAATTGGACTAAGTGTGCAGGTTTTCACGGCAGTATTATATCTTCTAGTGGGTGCCGATTCGAGATAAAGGGCACAGAAAGGATCGCTTTTGCCATTGGAATCTTTGGAAACTAATTCTTTGGCTTCGATGACTTCAACGTTGAGATGCAATTCTGGTGGCTAAACGTGAGTGACAAATTTTTATGAATATACATATTACGATAAAATTATGCTTATAACTTTGTCAAAATATTTGTAAAGATAGTTACCTCTAGATTTCGCGTTTGTTCCAACACTCTTTCGTGCGTCTCGTTATCGATTTTGAAAGCATTTTGCAAATGGTTTAAAAGAGTTTCTTCGCTACATTCTTTGGAAACATCAAAGCCAATTTGATGTTGAGTCATATACACAAGAGCAGCGTAAAGTTCCTCAATCTATAAACAATACAAGATGTATAACATTAATTACGATGAATTACCAAGATTTCACCAAGAAACATATATAGAACGACAAGATATTAATTATTAATTAATATTGACGATAAAAAGTTTATATGTTTTGTTTTTCTTAACTTCAGTATGGGATTAATGCTTTTAATTGCCGGATTTGTCATTTCATGACATATTGTGACAAGACAGTCTGTTGATATTAAAACAATCTTGAGTACGTTGTTTTCGAAACTCTAGTAAAGGTATCGTTTGCGAATCAGAGTACAAAGTCTTTAAACCAAATCTCGCGTCCAAATTGTATGTAAATAAATTATTTTCTCTTTTTAAAGCAGCATGGTTGAACAATCGAAAAGTATTTTAGTAAATTTTAAAACTCGTATTGTACAAATTTAAAGATTTATCATATTTAAACTACAAGATTTAGGCTATAAATTTTCTAGTCACTAATTTAAAGTAATACAATTTTAAAATAAATCAATATTAACGTATTTTAAACTTTTGCAATTTTATCTCATTCAAAACATTTTTTTATCTTATTTAAAATAAGCTGATAATAATTTAATAAATTTTCCTCGTCATTAATTCACTCTTCTGACAACCAACGATTAAACTCACCGTCATGGATTGTAAGAGCGCATTAGTCCTACGTTCAATCTCAGCTTTCGGTACTCCACAAAAGGTATTCCTCATACGATTAAGGGTGACCGCCTTTATAGGCGGGTTTGTGCTTACCATATTGAACCTCATACAGTTCTTCACTTCACTAACAACAATCACAGATTGTTATATAGTCATATTGATTTGCACATTTGAAGTTTTTACACAACTTTTTCGCGATACGCACTATTTGTGGCCAGCATAGTCATCGTTAAATGTACGGATTCTGAACCGGAATCTTTTTATCAAAAAGCACACTGTGCACACCTTTTATAAATGAATTGTCTTGTACAGTTCCGACCACGATAACGGATAGTGAATCTAGGAAAGAAGAATCTAGAGCGACACGACAATGACTCGCGGAGACGCAGGACAGAAGATCATGTTGTTAGTTAAGAACAATGACGTTCATGCATCAGCGGTCCTGGCCTCAATGAGACGTCGAACTTGTTCACGCTTGACACAGTCATGCATTCGGGCTTCGCGTGAGAACAAAGAATTTCGCGCACTGATCGCAGCGGATTCACTTTCGATGGAGAACATAAAAAATTATCTCGCTCTTGCCAAAGATTATTTCCCGAAAGTTTATGTGTCACTGACAGAGGACAGGAGGCCGATTTATCGCACGCGCGATCGACGAATAATCAGTGCGGTATTAAACACGCTTCGTCGACCAAAGATGAACTTCCACGACGACCGCGACCTTTCTTATCAACCACACGTCGCCGCATATTCGATCGTGCGTATGCATAATCGACAATGGCCATCGATCGTAGCACGCATAAATCGTAATACTATGGACACGAAGACAGTGGGGTCTTAGTGATACAAACGTGCACCGTTACGCCACTGATAAACTTAGAAACACTATCATCATTAGTAACGTCTTATTAGATTTGTAACACGTTGTACATAATTTTATTTATGTATAATGTATACGATGGCTGGTTTAAATATATCGAGAATAAATTAATTAAATTCGTCGACGTCTAACATGTGCAATATTAAAGAGTAAAGTTTCCTGAAGAGTAATCTTTAGGTATTTATGGATAATTAAGAATTGATTGCCGATTTATCAGGGAGCATATGTATGAAAACATGTTACTAGTGTTGCACATTTACAGAATGCAGATAATTTTTAACCGCCGTGATAAATTTTGTGTGTTGGTAAACAATCGCATTGCTGACTACATCTTATTGCCGACTGCATCAGCCAACTTTACGTGTTTTACTGAAAATAGAAAAAAAAAGGTGTGGAAAATGACAAGCACTGCCTTTATGTAATATCACTTAGTACATATATTCTACTCTGTTACTCTAATTGCACTTTTTTTAGCCTCTGCAACACGTATTATTTTCGCAGAAAGTTGATGGTAACATGTGCTTAAAATAGCTGGTTCCATACCATCGGTTCCAAAGAGTTATTTTCTAAGCAAACTATCCACAGACCATAACGCACATACTTTCTGGAGCAGTTAATAATACAATACGAACACGTTGAGAGGTTTATGTTGATTCTTAACAGAAGACAAATTATAAATTTACGATTTTTGCAAATTGTTAGGCAAAAAAAATAATTAAATTTAAATTTTATATGGAAATTTTTAATTTCTAATGAAGATTAACAATTAACAATAACATGTGTATGACAAGAGTAGAATTAGGACACAACCTTCAGTATCAACGTCCACTGGCAAATACAGTTGCCAAGTGCAATTGACTCTGACAGTGAGATCAGTTTGCGCTATAATTCACGGCTTGAGATGCTGACGAAAACACATTCTTTTTCAAAGAAACAAAACCTATTGAGTTACAAAACAGTCACGAATGTTTTAATGTATCAATTAATCGTTCATTAATCTTTTTACTTTTAAATTTGTTTTATTCTAAGGGAGATTCTTAAGAAAGAGCATCGCGATTGCGTGTTGCGCGCGCGTGTAAAGCGGTATGAAAACAAGCGGCGAATCTGATCGTAAAGGAACTGTGTCGTATCCCGTTTAGAGTGACCCATGGGACAAGTGCAACCACAAATGCGTCCATACGTTCGTACAATTGCGTCCAATGAAAGCTGATATACCGACAATTAGTTCATTGGCTGCCAAGGCGCATCGAGACACCCGTTGTATGATAAACGGAATGTGTGTGTATGAACACGTTTTCGTCCTTCATACTCCGTCCTCGTCTAATTTTCATAGAATTATGCAATTTCGAGCCGGTCCAACTTTACGCCTACTCTAATACCGATTCTATTTTTCGACGAGGGTGAATTTGTTTAAGAAATACGTCGGCTGTTTCGTATGGTATGACGTCATAGTAATCATGATTCCTTCTTGTCGCAGTGTTAATATCTTTGAATGATTTATAACTCGCATATTGTTTTCGTGTATGCAATATGGAATGATACATTAGAGTAGCTTGAGTACGACGATGATTTAATAATAAATTAAAATTTAAAGTATTTTTTAATTATACAATGACTAAAGGCATTGACCTATGAATAAGAAAATTTTTCGATAATGAAATAATAAATTTGGATGTCGGATTTCGATTATATCTATTAGATAGAGATCGAAAAGTGCGCCACTGTGCGCAACTACTTATATGACGATTCGATTTGTTTTTAAATTGTGCCTCTGACAATTTGCCAATTTTTCGAAAGACTATCGGACAGAAGAAGAAGAAGGCAGCTTAACCCAGTTTTCCGAGTAGCAATTTATTTTTACGACTTAACAAATACCAAAAACTGAAATGTTGCAGTTTGTCGCCACGTTAAATTGAACAGGCTATAAGAGAGAGAGATTACGTATATCTTATATATTATAAATAATTATATATCTTTATCAAATTATTGTTAGGTCAACTGACATTTATTACTCACTTTTTCCATTTTTTAAACAATTTGATTTCCACCAAAAAATTTAAGTTTTATATTACAGTTAAATTTTTATTATGTTACTTTGTATATATTGATTATTTATTGATCGTGTGTCTTCACTCACTTTTATATTACAAATAATTTATAATATATGACAAATTTTGTCAATCAAATATTTGTTACTATTTTGACGATACACGTTCACTTTCGTAAAAGGCATAGAACAGAATCACAACACATGGCAAATTAAATGTTTGCCTTTAAATACACATTCCCTGCATAACTCACCGAAAAAATTTCTTAAATATTTAAATAATTTAAAACGGATTAATAAAAAAATTTGCTATTCTCCACTGTGAACCACATAAAAACACGCGGATAAGTTCACATTTTGTCATAGAACCTCTTGACATGGGCATATTTTAAAGATGCTTAAGATACATCGACTGACAATTAGTAATGAAGTTAGAAAAAGTGGTCAGGATAATCAGCGTGAGAAGACAAGACAGGAACTTGACGGAGGCGAGCACCACACTGCCAGGAATAGATGGACCGATGGATTCAGAGTCGTCGTACATCGACTAGACGACTTCGTGGTAGTTGTAACGTTGTACATTTGCTAACGCACGAACACGTGGATCTCATTTCAGATTGAGTTTAACTGCTCGATTGAACGTAGGGCATAACACCCCGGCATGCGGAGGGTTTACGTATGGACATAATTAGATATACCATATAGAGAAGATCGCGACCAATTTCCGTAGATGCATTATAATCAAATCTTACATGTAAATTGTGTATAAGGATATCGAAATGTGATTGTGAAAATTATTAATAATACGCGAATAAGTTCGAAATTTCTTTCCTTCATTGCATAAAAATGTTTAATTAAGAATGCATTCTGTGTAATGTAACATTTTAATTGACGATGATTATTTTGTATCAAAGTCCAGCTTAAAGCCTCTAACTGAACGGTTGATTCTTGAATCAATAAAAATTTATTTGAGCACTTTATTGCATGACATCACGGAAAATAAATCATGAAAACAGATGAAAGGATACATTCATTACGATAATGAATTTCTCGCAATCAAATTATTTACATTACAAATAATAAAATATGATTCTGCTTATCAAATCAAATCGTATACATAAATCGGATACACAATCTAATGTAAATCGATACATACATATATAAATTTGAGATAATTTTTTTTGTGCAAGTGCCAACAATGTGCTAGTAAAATAGTGTAGTTAATTTCAGACTTACATATCTGTTGTCTTTTTCTTCACTATTACAAAAGAGTGGTTCGTCAAATTTGATTAAACGCATTATTTCATATGGAAACAAATATAACGAATAGATTTAATGCCGAAGAAAGGCATGGCGATGTTTCAAATAATAACGTTAGGGAACGTCTAACTTGGACGACCCTTTGTGCCAGACTGAGGTCTTTGGAAAAATCAATATTGCTACCAATCGTTACCATCACGTGGCAGGACATGCGGCAATATACAGAAAATATGGTTTCGATCCAAGCAGAAGTATGAATCATAAATATCTAACATAAATATAGAAAATCACTGTATTATACAACGACCGAGAAGATGAACTTTGCAAAAAACCACCGAGAAGGATTACCTGTTTATTTATTAAATTTTAATTTCTGAATTGTTCTCACATTTATTATTATTTTTAAATATCAAATTTTTCTGTTACACGTATACTGAGTAGTTGCAAACAAACTTTTTTTCAGACATTTATGGGAGAATTTGTCTCAAGAGAGTTAATGCAATCGTCTAAAATCACTCTCCCATGTCAACGAATCTGTTTCGAATAACGTGCGCGCTATATGAAGCTTCGCGTATCCGAACTGTACACAGTCATTTTGATATTGAACAGACCACCCGTTATCTATTGACGTAGACGATGCGGTATGAAGCTACTTGAAGTATTTTCAGACAACACTTCGCATGCTGTTAACGCATGAGAATTCGTCCTCTTAAAAGTAGTCATTAATATCTTCAACTATGCGATGAAACAAGCTATCTTTAATTGTTAGAATTTTAATAGAATCTTGTCTTGGCAAGATGATAGCAAAGAATCTATCAAACTTTCATTGATTAAATTACCTCTTTTTACCTCGTCACGCCAGTAATGATTTTGAAGAATGCAATACTTACATTTAAGCCCATCGATTCGGCTACGAAATTTCGAGCATGTTCATTTTCATCTCTGTCACTGTCGGTTTCCAGCAGAGCCTCCGTTGGCTCAATGCTTCCTTCCTCACTCAAGATGTCTTCTTCTTCTTCCTCTTGCGTTTCATCCTTCTTTTTCGGAAGTGGACCTTCCACTTGTTCTTGAGCGCGAGCTTTTTCTGCGAGCAGCGTGCCCAGATTTTCGAAAAAGCCGCCATCTGATTCTTGTATTCTAAAAGCATATACGTCACTTCGGATTAATAATAAACTCAATAATTTTTTAACTTTGATATCTAATAAAATTTTAAATTCTTCACACATATTTTTATAAAAAGGTATCATATGATGATCATATTGTCATATCAAATATCACATGGTGAGCGAGTATACATTTAAAAGCATTACGTCACTGTAACACAGCACTACTATAAAGCTTACTCTAATAATCGATTGCCTAAACATCAACACAAGTCGTAGCGTTTTAAAATCAACAAACCTTTCGTTGTTTGTATTACTGAAGCCATACTTTAAAAATATAACACACTTGTCAAGTGTAATACTTCAAATGAAAGGAAGACATGGGTCGGGAAAGCGGAAAAGAAAAAAGGAAAAGATATGGCACTTTAGAAAGTGTATTGGACGACCTAGGTGCATACAAATTACTGAAAAGCGTGGCTTCACAAAAGCGCATAGCTTATAAGAAACATTGCGCACTACTGTGCTAATACGCGTCGCAAGCCCTTCCCTCGATATAGATATAGATCGCACACACACATGAAAAACTCGTTTCACCTTTTATTAATAAAGTTGAACGCTGCAAATTTCCAATAGACTCTCGCGGCAGTCATCTCTTTTTTTTCTGCTTTTTGCGACATGCGAATAGCGGCGATCGCGTAATATGGGTGTTTCTCGTCCAGTTTATCAAAGTGCGCCATTTTCCTTTTCTTAGTCCTTTAGCAAAAACACAACACAACGACTTCTAATGTAAATTTACACAGGAAAAACCGCACTAGACAGAAAATCTTGTTGCTTACTGCTACGTTTTATTTTTCTGTTCACAATTTAACTTTGATTGTAATGTTAGATTTTTCATTTTTTAAACTCTTGCACTTGGATATAATAAAGTTATATATACTATAATTATATAATTTTTTAAATTCTAAATACTATAAGAAAAAATATAAAAATGTATAAATTCGTATTTAAAAAAACACTAGTATTATCCACATCAATTATTAAATTTTTTACTTTAAATTGAATATAAAAGTGCGTTATAATATTATATGTATATAAATATGTAGAATTTTATAGAAATAAAATTTAATTAGAAAACTAAGAAGTAAATTTCGCAGAAAATTCGGATATTTTCTTTAGATACGTTTGCACTTCAAATTTGCACTTTAATAATAAAGCTTGTTGCAGAATATAACCAAAATATGTCTATTTTGATAAAAGACAACACGATTCACTGTGATATTAATAAATATCATTTCCAAAAAAATTTCTCATGCAATTTAACATGCAAGAAACTGTGCAGTTAACCGAAGCTCGACGGTAAATTTATGCTCACATTTCTGCAGGTTCGATCGTTTTTTTCGGATCACTAAATAATCTTTTGGTAACGAAATTCTTCATTATTCTTGTTCCGTAGCTTTGTTCATACTGACTGTCATAACATTGCAGCTTGGTCATATAAACCAGAACTTAATTACTTCTTTGTTACGTAGACGGGATTCCACGCGTATTGTTGAGTTAGAGATTCCCACGATTGCGAATTACGCGTCTATGGGTTCCGTGAATTTAGTGGCAGATTTCCGTTAACTGATTCGGAGCTAGTACAACACACACAATCTGGCTCCTGCCTCTTCGAAAACTAAATAAGGACTCGAGTGGAAAACTAACTAAGGTGGGAGACTACCAAGTAGGAGGTACCAGGATGTATCTAAGACGCGATTGCACAAATAATTTGCAGAAGTATAATTTTAATGTTTGCCGCTGTACATTGTAACGATTACCTTGAGCAAATCTTTTTGCGTAAAGCAATTTTGCTCTATGTTTTTAACTTAATATACTTTTTAACAAAAATGTAAAAAAAGAATATTGATTAAGTTTTAGTGGAGAAAAGATTTATTTTATATTATTAACAAAATTTTTACTTTTAATACGTTTTATGTATTTGTGCTGCTTGAAAAATAAAAATTTATATAACGCAAGATTATATTCGATGTCCATAAAGTTAAGTACGCGCAGTTAAAATTAAGCTTGCGTTAATGAACAAGAATTTGTGTAGTGCATAATCAAAAATGTGGATATTGAAATGATGAGATAAAATAATGTAATCAAAATTAAAATTATAACAACAATGTAATTTATAAAAGAGAGATTGGAAATACTCGCGATACAACCTGATTACATGAAATCGTAGCATTATGTAATAAAATAACACTTTTTTGTTTTAGTGTTTCTTACATATTTTTACATATATTATTTCTCGTTGTTGTGACGTTTCTCTTGACTAAAAATAATCTATGAACGTATTATGTCAACATCCATTATGATGTGTAAATTACGCGCTATGCCAGATAAACGTGTTTTACGATTGAGAGATAAGCACAAATTGGTATACCGTGTGCTGAAGAATGACGAACAAATTCACGATGTAGGAGATTTATTGTTTGCCGATCACCTATGAGGATTTCAGGAAACCACTTCACACTTGGATGAGAGTAAAAGGTTTAAGAGGAAAACTTCTCGACTTATTTCAGCTGATATTGCAATCAGCTGAATAATTTCGATCAAATTGCATTCTTTTCATTTAAAAGAAAATATAAAAGAGTAGAGAACGGAATTGATTTTTATCTCCATTTAATAATTACAGTAATTAAACGCCGTTATTGTTTAAATTTTCAATCTGCAAACAGTTTGCGCAGAATAAAACGGGAAGTACGTTCTCAAATTACGAAGTGAAAAGAACAAGAAAGAAATGTTGACTTGCGTCACTACTGCGTTCCTTTTTTTTGCGGCAATACATTGCTTCTTCCTGAGCCTCTTTTATTCTTAACTCAAGAGCAAAGTGAATCACGGTATCACATGCCACTCGAGCACTCTGCGGTCGGTTGTCGTTCGAAAAATGTATGCTTATTCGATTTTATTCTATTCTTCTTTGCTATCTATTTTTAACTTTTTATGGCACGTATTGGTAATTTCGAGGACTTGGTCGAGCTGTTTATTCCTTGTTTTTGCGATCGATTTTGATATTAAAATCGATTTGAATAATAAAAAAATTATCCTGAAATTGAAATGTTGTCTTGCAAATAATAAGCACAAGGTCTATTATGATGTAAGTCATAGGCCTTCAATAAAATGGTTGACCTCGGAACAATATTGGCAGGATAAAATGTTTGTATGTTTTCAGTCTTGAATTTATCAGTGCAATATACCACATTTGACGCAAGTATGACGTATACATGTTGTTTTTCTAATATATAAAATAATTATAGATTTAACATGTTTCAGCAGTTCGTTAAATTCAATATCTTTCAAAATATTTAAAAAATATGTTTGCATTTTTCACAAGCAAATAAAATGTCGGGTTTTATAATGAGTTTTAATGTCCAAAAAGTCGTATATTTATTCTACTCTGTGTAGAATCCGCAATAATACAAAATTATATAATTCATACTGTCAGCATATGTGAAATATTTTGTATATAAAACGTAAAAAATATCTAAAATACAAAATCAAAGTTTAATTTATGTTTGGGATTCAACGTTATTCTCATGGGCTGTTCACCTGAAGCAATGATCTAACAATAAAATGGTCTTTCCTCTTCTTTATCATCAATCATCATTCTCTTAACACTCGGGAAAACCAGGAAATTCCACTGATTGTTTGAATATGACGTGCGCGGTATTCTCGCGGTACCGCTGATTTGTGGAAAACCGTGGGAAATATGGTAAAAATAGAAATAGGTACGAAATGACCTAACAAGGGTGTCATTATTGCGTACGATATAGTTTATATCTATCTTTTGTCGTAATTAGTATTTATTGCTATTGCAATAAAATCATTTTATGATGACAAAGAATTTACATGATTAAATACTTGTTTTATTCTTTTTATATTATATTTTGCACAATTTATTTTAAATTTAATATAGAATCTACAGCCGAGAAAATTTGCAATGAGATATACGAGCTCCTAAGTGGTGTAAGTCCAATTTTTAAATTGTTGGGAAATCAGTGTTTTGCGTTTGAGCTGCCTATCTGTTATCGTTCACTTCTCCAACTTTGTACTGCTCTCAGCCGCTTACTTATGAAGTTAGACTTACACAACTTGTTTACTACATGCAGACAATCCTTCAGAACATATTTCTCGTGTAAGTTGAAAATCTCTAACTTTGGATCACTTGCATCACTTGTGAAATAAGGGGACCATTTCAGATACATGTTCATTTCATATAGAAACCTTTCCTAAACGTATATAAAACCATCGGATACGTTTAGGAAACGTATATGAAACGAACATGTGCTACCTGGGATTTTGTATAAAATAATATACTATTATATAAATTTATTGAAATGCAATAACTTTCAAATTAGAATTAAATACAGTTTAAGCATTTAAACAGATATTTAAATATTAATACTGTTTTACATACCGGAAACGATTTACGCACGTGTCAATAAGTCGTTTATATTGACACAATCGGATTACACCTGACCAAATTCCTTCACGGATGGTCGATTTCGTGTCTCTCACTCAACTGCTTGTAGTTAATTATCTCTTACAAAGACATCGCGAGTGTTTGTGAATCATGTAGCGTCGTACCGACCTTGTGCGCCAGATCTCGCGGAACGACATATAGGTATATGTATAGACACACCTATGTTTTGCATATATAGATGTAAACGTATGAAGATCACACAGGCTTGGTCGGAGTCACGTAGTTAGTCTCTCCTCCGGACAGGCCCATGTTAGTCTCATTCTATTTATAGATTCTACATGTGCTATATGCCTGGCTATATACAATTTAATTTAATGTTCTGTAAGTTAGGAGCGTACACGTTTATCATAAAGTATTATCATCAATCATGGAAATTATTAATATGCATACCAAGCTCACGGTTATTGATGCCTTAATTACATGCCAAAATATATAAGTAGTTTATCTTGCTTTCTTTGCTCTTTTATTATGAATATTGTGATACCATCTCCGAATATGTACATTTCTGTAATTTACGCATAATTGGTATAAAAGTTTTATTTTTATAAAATTATAACTTCAACACGTTTTTAACGTTATTATGACACGCTAAAAATAAAAATGTATTATAATTTTTCTTTCTTTGAAAAATTTGTTTAATTTTATTTACGTTTAAAATGTTTCAAAATTTTCATGTACTTAAGAGAGTTATTTTGCTTGGAATAATGTGTTCCACGAAAGAATATTGTTTCATTTTTATAAATATAGATGCGTCATTTAATTTAATATGTTTATGAATACAAACATCTCATTCTGTATAAGAGAATTTTATTAATAAATAACTTTTAATCATCACAGTATTAGTTAAACAATATGGAATAACTTTTATATATAAAACATGTTCTTCAAAAATCTACAGCATTTGTCAAAGTACAAGATACAAAATGATGACAAGCGGTTAATATTTTTTTACCTTATCTCGTGTTCCGATTTCTCTAGTTGTTTTTCCTTCTCCAATTTCTCTTCTACGATCTTATGATAAAAGCCTTTCCACATAGTCTCCTCATCCATCTTCACAGTTTTATTTCCTCGATTTCACTCAGTAATGAATCAAAAGATATTTATATACGATCCAGTATTCTCTAAGGCGTGTACTTTATCTTAATTGTTTTATAATTAATAGTTTGGCACTTGGGCGCGCGCGAAAAATTATATATTTATATTAATCGTACACTCACGAAAATCATTTCTTGTCAATTATTGATCTTGCAAAAGGAATTGCGTACGAAAGGAATTTACATTTCGCAACGAAAAGATGCCGGCTGGCGTAAAGACCGATGTTGGATGACTAGTACGCGTCCCACTTATTCGTGAATGAGCATTCGCCATTCACTTGTACTTTTTGATCGTCTGGTAGAGGGCACCTAATACCAAGCTACACTGCTCACTCTATTTATCCGGTGCGCATATTTTACAAATTTCTATATATTTAAATAATCTTAATTTTATCTAATGCTATTTTGTCTAATTTTTATCTATCGAGAGAAAACATTCTTCTAAAATTTATGGCACCGTGTTAAAAATATATTTATTAAATGTTAAAATAAATTTATCATAATTATCTCACGAAAAATAAATCTCATTAACTTTTTTTAATTTCAACTATAATTTGATTGCCTTTTGTTTTATTTTAATTTAAATTTTGAAAAATTTAAGATTAATAAAATTTGCCTTAGAAAATTAATATATAAAAAATTAGAATCTTCTTTTTGATTAATATTTAAATAATAGTTCAAGAAAATGTTTTGCACCTTTATTTCATCCGTGACTTATCTTTCAGTTGTGCATGTGATGTCAAGCTAATTAAATAGGCGCTTGCGTCATAAGACGCACAGTTGTATAAATGACTCAACATTTGCGAAGTTTATTTTGTCATCTTGATGACATCATCTATTATGCAGATGATCTCTTTGATACACATATATAAAAATATCAAAAAATAAATATTGCATAAATTGCAATTTGTACACAAATTACATTGCATACTATTTCATTTTTAAATCGGATTTATACTACTGCAAAAATATTAATTTCACTTAAAATATAGGTATAAATATATATGAAAAATGTAAAGTATTTTTCTCATAAATGTCAACGATCGCTGATAAACACTGATGACTGCATATGCAATTGATCAATACACCTTATAAAAAAATGTGATGAGAACAAGAGATTTAATGTCACTTTCATCATCAACAGCACGCCGATCAATATGAGTTTCAATCATATTTAAATTTGAGTAGTTTCATTTGATCGTAGACACTAAATGATAGTAACGCAAACGCACTTTATTGCTAATACTAGACCAGTACCTGCATAGAATTGATTCCTGGCAAGCTGCTACCCAGACTGGTGTCGCGATCGTTGCATTTCATGAACGCAGGCGCCACGTCGCTTGATACTATATATGTATCTTTGCGAATGCGTTGTAGTATCGTTAGACATCAATAACGGTTTTTTTTTTTTTTTACTAGATTAGTATTCTAATGTGAGAATATTGATTCTAATTTTTACATAAAATATTAATTTTATTTTTTTAATTATAATACTAGTTATTGTTTCGTCAATCTTAAATATTAATTTACATTACCTAATAATTTACTATTATCATTATCGCACTATGTCACGTTTTAATGTAGGCGACATTAACATCTGTCTTGGACTCATAAATTTTCCTATTTTGTGGTGTCTATACATTGCTAGTACTAGTTTACAGCGAGATAAGTTTGAATAAATTTATAAAAATTATTTTACTGTAATTCTATATAAAGAGCGTAACGTACATTTAAAAGGATCTATATAAATGCAGACTAGTTATCTGCAAACACAGCTTAAACATGCGTTGCAAATTGATTGTATTGTTTCTATTTTTTGGTAAGTAAAACAGGAAAGACATATCTTTCCATATCAATAATAATTGAATAAGATATTAATAATTATATATTTTTTTCTATTAATTTTTACTACAGAATGTATGGTATTTTATGCGGCGACAAAGCGTATGTATCATCATGAAATCACAGTGTCCCAAAGAAATACATCAGACGTTACAGATTTTGTCCTCGTAAATCCAACACAAATTCAGCACGCTGAGACAGTGATAAAACATTTCTTGACAAGATTAACTGGACCGATAACACAGCCGATAATATTGAAATCGTTATTTCTTAATGAAGGCAATTCGCAAGAGACAATTAGTAAGATATGTAAGATTATACGAGAGAAAATTATAGAGTTTGCGCAAGCCAGTGGACTGACCATATCGGTTCATCAGGATGAGCAAACACCATGGAATTTTACAAGCTCTAAGGATTGGTTTACCGAAAGTATAGTCCAGGGATCGCTTCTATTACGCGATCTCGTTAAAGTGGGAGAAGAGATTCGATTTAAAATCGATCATTATTTCAAAATGTATAATATAACTTTATTCAAGGATGAGGTAAATTTTAAAGCGGCTAAATTGATTGTTTTCAAAGAGGATAATAATACCATTTAGAATGTGCTATTGCAAAAATATACTTTAAAATAATATATATATATATATATAATTTACTAGCATTTTTTTTTTCAGAAATTGTCACCACGCAAGGCAACGAAGAGCTTTAAATTTCTAAACACTATAAATAAAGCTGCCAGATTTAATGAAGAATTGTTCAACTGCTTACTGTCAGTAGAAAATAGAAAAAGTTTACAATCTTTTGATTTTATTCGGATCTTTGCGAATTTAACAAAAGATTCACCGAATAAAACCGTAAAGTCATTCAAATCCGGCTTAAATCGAGCTTTCTCCTATTCTATACCAGATAACGGTACAAACGATGAACAATTGTATGCGCTGTTTTGTCATTCACTTGTCGAAAGAGCCAGTCACTACGGCGATTGTATCAAAGAGTTGCAACGTCTCGCGGTTTGCATATCATTATCGACGCGAGACTCGCACGTAGGAATCATTCATTATACGTTTCCTCCGTGGTTGAGCAATATTGGAGATTTAAGCGACTGCAAGGTTGATGTCTCAAACAACACTGTAAACATTAATTGCAATTGGAAATTCCCAAGGACTACAGTGCAGCAAATGAAGTACATTTATGAGAAAATTTTAAACCGCCGAATATTTAAACGGTCATCTCTTCATCGTGTCGCAAACGACCTCGGAAATGTTCTCTCGAAAAGCACATGGGGAAGGCAATTGACGTACGATGTGTGTCAGTGCTTCGCGATTTATGAAGAAGGCCGCAGAAGATTAAATGCACTTTCGAAAAATGCTGCGAAAAACAAGAAAACGGCTATGAGGTTAATAATGTTTTACAATAAACTAAATAGCAAAAGCATAACGATATGATATTTGGTGCAGATCTACTAAACTAAAATATATAAGTCAGATAAATTTAATATTAAATTTAATTTATTTAATGATCTAAAACCTTACAGTATATTTAATAATTAATTTTGTGAATATTGCAAATGCAGTTCGTCATTATTTTAAGCATACATTTTGCTTTTGGTGTTTCCATAATTTGGAATTTAATTATTAATATATTGTTATAACCAATAAATTATCATTTTTTAGGTGCAAAAAGTTATCAGCGTCATTAAATGAATATAAAAACGGAATATTAAAAGAAATGATGCTGACTATTAATAATTTTCATCGTTCTGCATCAGTGATGCAAAAGTTCCTAACTCACGTAATGAAGTTTTCTTTCAAGGAATCATGGCAGAATCGTATTAGAATTCTTGACTATTTGTCTGAATGGATGACAAAACTTTTAGAATTATTTGGATATTCAAATTTGAATGATAGAGATGTACAAATGCCATCTAGTACTACTATCTTACCAACTACATATGTGACATATTTAACCACAGTGACACCATACAACAATATCTATGTTAAAAATAATCAACATCTTGTGGTACACCGTACAAAAAATCGTTAGTATTTCAATTAATTATTACATGCGGAGAAAGGAAATATTTTTTACTGTTGTTAATTATTATGCCTCAATTTGTCATTTAGTTTTAGGAGATATTTTGTGTTAAAGCAATTTTAACAAATTATGTATTTTTATTCATTATTTTCAAATTTGATAAAAGAAGCTGAGGTTAGCAATTTACGCAATAGCAGCTGTATTTTGTGAATTAATTACAAATATTGTTGCAGAGATGAAAAAGGAGACTGATGCAGCCTTCGAAAGATTGATACTTACAATGAGTGATGTAAAGAAGATACAAAGTAGAAACAATAACAGCACTCTAGCATATCTAGCAAATAATATGTTATTGATCGTCATATTCATGGAGACTCTTAGTTTTGTTTCTACATTATTCTCTTTTGGAAAGTATAAAGATGATAAAGTCAATTCCGAGGCAGAAACATCGACAGAAGAATGGGAGTCATCTGAACGTAAACGTAGATCATTGTTTTCAACAGATTTCGCAGCAGTTGATACAATTAAAAATGATTCTTTGGGAATACTTAAAACTTCTAAGAAAATCATCAACATTTATAATAAGGAAAATATAAATTTTACCAGAAATATACCTGTAGATATAACGAATAATTTTTACAGTTCAATAAAAGGTTATTCCAACAAATATAAAAAATAAGAGGAAAAGCGGAATTAACATTGTTAAATTAATTATTATAAAAACAAATGTGTATGTTAAAACATTAGTTTAGTGAAATAAAAGAATTTTTGTCAATATAAAATATGTAAACTTAATAAAATTTTAAATAAAAGTTATGTTATCAAAACTAGAGAGACAAAATTCATAAAATGAGACATAGAGTTATAAGAATCACGCGGTAGGAAGAAAAAATTATTTTTACAGCGTTGAAAATAGTCACAAAAGCGATCTTGAAAGATGAATTTCAAGAATATCATCAGACGTAAACTAATCTTAATTACATCATAAAGAAATCACTTTGGAAGATGAAAATAGTTAATCGTCAGCAAGGGATACAAGAAAAAATAAAATAAGCTCCAGAAAATGAAACTTATTATCAGACATTGTATATTATCTACTAAAACGTAACTGCGGTTTCATAATCCTTAAGATAACTGATTTTAGAAAAAATTATAAATTTTAAATTATATTATATCGTTTGTAGCACTTATATAAATCACGTATAATCTTGACAGCGTTGTAATACTGTAAAATACTAACGATAGTGTCTGCGCTTGTCTCGGTTAAACGTTCACAAAATATGTCACGAAATATGACATTTATAGTCACGATGAAATGGATCGTCGCGCTTTACATATACCAGCTTACACCGTATTATGGCACAGTCAGTAAAAATGCGCGGAGCAGTTATTATTCTCTACTTTGTCGGTATGTAAATATTTTACTTATTATTTTTATTATATTATTAAAAAAGGCACGCATAGAAATGTTGATAAAGTTCTTTCGTCACAGATTATCACTATACATCATTATTACGTTACGGCATAATTACATAAATAATTTTGTAAAATAATAGTCACATGATAACTACTTTCAGTATTGGCATCAGCAATTATTTATTGTTTTCTATGTATATTCTAGGTTTCCTGTTTGAAAAAATAACAGGACATGCAACGCAAGAAAGGCAACTAAAAATTATCGGAGGACAATTAGTCGATATAAAATATCGACCCTTCGTGGTTAATATTCTTTTTTAACTATGCTTTTTCTATTAATTTGTTCTTTTTTGTCGATATTTTATTAAAATTATAATACATATATATATTTGTAGCTTGCTTTACAAGATGAAAATGGATTTTTCTGCGGTGCTAGCATAATATCACGGAAATATGGTCTCACCGCTTTTCATTGTTTGTAATGAGATTTTACATTATTATTTATATTATCATTAATTTTTTTAGCATGTTATAATTATACTACTGGTTTAATTAAAACGTATAGATTAAATCCTGTTAAAATTTTCTTCTACAATTTTAATATTTTATATTATTTTTTAGAGATCCGCCAACATCCAAGTATTATGTACGGGCTGGATCCAACAGAACGGATAAAGGTGGATCCCTGCATAAAGTGACAAAAATTCATATATATAATGATTCATACGTCCCCTCATTTTCGACATTACCGGTCCACGACATCGCACTTTTTGAAGTAAAACCATTCTTTCGTTTTTCAAAAACCATTCGACCAATTCGTCTACCAAGACCAGCTCCTAAAATATACCAGAAATTGTTTATCTGCGGCTGGGGAACCACTGATTCAGTAAGCAAACTTTTTTATATATTCTTATTTGAAAAATATATTTACATTTTCTAAATGTTATTTATCTTCTTTTATGTCATACATTTGTCCCTTTCTTTCTTTCTCTATATGCGTTAATCTATTATTAATAAGAATATAAGGTAATTGATTTTAATTTAATTTGAAGGGACAAGTATCTCAAACTCTTAGAGGCATTTACATTCATCACGTTCCGTTTGAAACCTGCATTCACACTAGTAAGATATACAAAAAAATCGTTGAAGATGATCGTCATATATGCTATGGAAACCCAGGAAAAGATGCTTGTCAGGGAGATTCCGGAGGACCATTAACCAGTAACAAAACAATTTACGGTGTCGTATCTTTTGGTGATGGTTGTGGAAAAGTGCCTGGTGTTTACGTTAGAGTATCCTATTATCTAGAGTGGATTAAAAATGTTACGAATTTATGATTGCACACCTGGTCAATGAATAATTTCGATTTTTTTTAGTTTTAATTAGTTTGTTCCGAATTAGTTTTAATCGGCCTGTAAAATTACTTGATCTGATTATTAATATTTTTTAACAATTAAAAAGAGTTGGTTTATTTAAATGTACCTTAAATATACTTTAGTTTTGAACTATGATTAGTAGTAGAGATTTACGATTATTAGAAATATGAAAAATTTGTTATTTTATGATTTTCGGTGTGTATAGCGAATTACAAATTTATTAAACTTATTTAATAAAATTATATTGTATTTTGTGTTGGTGAATATAGCAAAAAAATAACTCAATACATGATGCTACTAAAAGCCTTGTGTTCTTATCCAAGTATACAGGTTGAAAGTATTGTTTTCGAGAGAATAGGCACAAAAGGCATATCGAATCACGGAGTCGTGAACCCTCCTGCGTTCAGGTCCGGTGCGTGCAGGAAATTCACTACATACACGCGCTACGCAAGAGTGTCTCGCACCCGTGCACGCGACTCACGTAGCACTCGCTCGTGCAAAGCTAAATAAAAGATACAAATACGTGATCACATAATGTACTTAATGAATATTGAGTTTTACGTGACCATGATATTTTTGATAATATTTATAGCTTTTGTATACCATATGTAGGTACTGGTCATAACGCAGCAATTAACAAAACAATGCTGGATTAAAGAGTATAGTGTCTAAAAAAATAATCTATCTGCGTAATACAAATCATATAATTCTACAATAAAAATCATAGGATTGAAATTTAAAAACAGTCACACAACATAATATTTTCTTCTTTTTTTACGTACAAAAACATATCTTTTAGAAATGCAAATTATTTTTGCACTTAAAATTATATAATGAACTAAATTGATAAAAGTTTCATTTATTTATCTATAATTTATTATGAACGCAAGAAAGAATATAAATCATAAAGCAGGTGAAAATATCGCGTAATCATATATTCTTCCGCTTTTTTGTGTTTACTCGGCCGTATATACGTGTGCCTGTTACTTCAAGCTACTATTTACTGGGATGACTCATCCACGTGTGTTTCCCTGCGAACCGAGCCTCTGCCAGGTTCTGCGCGTTCGCGCTTTCAAGGGTCTTTAAACTCCCCTGGCCACGTGCGTCTATCGAGTGTCTTCGTAAAAGACCGTGAGAAGTGCATTATCGCAGTGAAACATCCGTGACATTTGAATTATGTGGGCGGACAAACTATTTTTGCATACAGATATTATGTTATCAATTTCGCTTGAGATACGACTAATAGCGATAATAATAAAATTAGAAATGATGATGTCACTATTTTATTTATAACAGCATCTAATTATTTGTATTGTGAACAGAATTTCGAGCAGAAATTAAGTGACACGTTGCAATTAAAAATAAATCTATTAATTATTTATTGCACGTGTTATATACTGAATCATAATAATGTTCTATTCATCTTATGATACCATATATGCTGCTAAATCTTGATATAATATGAATCTCGGTACAGGAGTTATGGTTTTAACAATATAGAAAATACTTTTAATCAATATATACATTTTATTGTCTAATATGATGTTATAGTGAAATAATTTTCACTTTTCAGTAAGTTTTATTATAAAGACAATTAACAAAAGATTTGAAAGATTGTTTTATATACTCACCCATTTGTCGTTAGAGGATAAATTTTTATTGCGGCAATTCTTCAAGATCTCGCGACGAAGTTTTAGAAACCAAATACTGCATTTGGGACTGCAATATTTTTTTACGGCGCTGTTACTTCGCATACTTTCAGTGATATCATGATAATTCACGCACTCCCAGTTTGTATCTTTTGATACTACTTTTGATACAACAGGTACTTCTTCAGATGCTAACAGGATATAGTCTTGCGAATCTGTACTGGAAGATGAATGCGATATTCTGGCACTAGTGTGGTTCTTCTGTCGTAAATAAATGTTGTCCACGACGTCCAGTTCGAGCTGCGTATCAGTCATAATGGATAGATTTCTGTTAGTTAAAAATTCTTCTTTACAGATAGTGGATGACGTTTTTATTTCTTCAATGTTTGTTTTGTTGTCTGAGAACTCTCTCGTGCGATTTTGCGAAAGATGTTTCTTGTGAAACTTTACGGGATTGCCGAACATGGTTAAATCCAATTTGAAATCTATTTTCGAGTTATCTTGCAACGACACATCCTTGCGATTCACAATTTTCTTTCGACGCCTGAATTTTTATAAAATGTACACACATTTGCACTAACATTCACTGCTTCGATAACAACAGAATTTCTAATTATTTGATGTCTACATCATTCTGTGATAGTTTACAGTTGCACGGTATTATACAGAGTTAATAGCATCGTAGTACTTAGGATTGTTCAATTAATCCAGTATGCGACCCCTACGAAGGAAAAAGTAGTACTGAACTGTCTCCATGCTACCAAGCATTCACTCTCTCACTGGCTGGGGATCCCAACTGATTGTACACGCGTGTACTAGAGAAGGGATGTATGAGTCTACTGACGGTTTTCTTTATTCATTAGTTAATGTAAAACGCAATAAACGGGTACAGAAAGTTTCTTGCATGTAATTTTAATGCAATTCAGTACCGTCGAGTTATTTTTTATTAATTCAAACTATATATAATATTCTTCGCTCTTATATTATTCAATAATAATTTGTATAAAAGAGTTAAAACTCTACATTTTTTAGAGAGTTTTTTTTTGTAAAGTTTAGTACCAAATTGATCCCAATCAAAAATTCTTCAAGAGGTATGGATATATTTTTCCTTATATGGCCCCATTGTTTAGTGATACTATTATTAGTCTCTTTAATCGGAATATTCGTAAATAATGATATCACGTCTAATGAAGCTACGCAAGTGTCAGTGTCTATTGTCTTACCATTCAATTTCTTAACTAGTTCGAAACTATTTTTAATGCAGCTTTGTGGATGTTGGAGGCTTTGTTGAAGGATTTTATGTAAAAATCTTGCAAATGTATATAACGGACTGTTCAATAAAGAGACGATGAATAGTTTAACATTTTAACATGATGACTTCTAAATTCAATGTGATTTATTTCAAGATATAGATTATATATTTTTTCGCAACGTTGATTTATCTCGACAGACTATAAATTTTAATTTAATTTATTTATACAAGGTGATACGTAAAAGATGATGGCATACGGATCTCGAATAAATATTATTAACCTTAATTTGGTAGATACTGCTAATACAGTTGAAACTAAAAGACAATTTAAAAAATTTTAACATATTGATATTAAAAGGTAATGAGGTGCAACCCAGACACATTATTGTATTATAACGTAAATTGAAATCATCATAATAGCGTGCGGAAATAAACCTGCGGAAATAAACCCTATAATTATTATACATTGAAGAAGGCTAAATCCGATAACCGAAACGTCTGTATTTTTTGTATAAAGAATTAAACTATTGGGCGAACGTAATCCTGCTCTAGCTTTCTCAGCCCTTTTATACAAATTATTATTTTTTATTGTCTTTTTTTTTAATGTAAAAATACTTACCTGAGAAATAATTGTAGCAATAATATATATTATAAAATTATGCACTATTATATAATATAAAGATAGTTCTTAATAATATTCTATAATACTTTTTTTATATATATTTTATGCAGAGATACATCGTTGTTTTATGAAAAGATATATTACATATATCGTGTTCTAACTTCTCACTTTACTGAATTAATAATTTGAATTTTTTCGTATTTGTATTATTTCTAAATTTAGATTAAGTGGATATCTCAAAGAGATTCATTATATTAGTATAAATCACAGTGAATACCCATAAAATATACACAGGAAGATAAAGAGAATTCTCAAGGTTTATGATATTGCATTTCCGGTATACATATACATACACATGTATGTATAGTGTGGTATTCATAGCATTTCATGCGTAATTATTACTATTGAATATATAAACACAGACATATATGATAGATAAATAATCTCTATAGTTTTATATCATATTTTAATATATTTTTTTTATTAAAACTTTTTTTATTTTATTATACATATTCTATAACCTTGTACGCGATCAATTATTACACAATAAAAATAACAATTGTACAATTCTAAATTTATATAAATGAATTCAGTTATTTATCAATCAATGATTTGTCTATATTTATCTAATATTCATCATTTTATTCCATTACACGTTATTCATATAAAAAATTGTAATTAATTGTATGTTACTTTTTTAAGAAACATAATAATTGCTCATAATTATTTGAATATTAAATCAGAATGTTATATCTGATTATTTGGTTCCGAACATCTGGCAGCATACAGAAATGTGTGCTGCACATGTGTGACTCATTATAATTAGCACATATTGTTTTGCATTTTTTTACTCACATTATAAAAACAAATTAATACATATGTTTCGAAATATTGATTATATTATAAAAATATATTTTGACTTATTTTATGTGTGTGCTTTATAATTATGTAACGCATAAATATTATAATACTGATATTAATAGAAGAATAATTTCTATTTACTTTAAATTATAATATTGAATAAAATATTTTTATTATTGCAATTTGTCGTTTGCTAAACACTGAACCAATTATTACAGTAAAAGTATAATAAAAGTGTTTTTAAAGCTGCTTCAAGAATGAGTAATAATGATATTCATAGAACCGCAAGTATACAGGCTAACCGTTGAACATAACGTTACGGAGAAATTTAATTAACTTTACTTGACCTTGTAAAAATCCACCTACGCATGTGACAGACAGTGATAATAGACAGTGATGTACTTAAATATGTGCAGTAGAAGTCCATAGTGTTTTATGAATTATATTGTTACTTCTCGGAAGGCAATAATTGAGATAAAACTAATATCATCTACACATTATTGTCAAAATTGTATTGACTTTATTTTAATAATAGTGAAAATAATTATGAGTCTATTTTGTCTCTTTTTTAAATTGCAAAAGAATATAGAATTAAAAAATATTACGATAACACTTACTCAACACTACATTGATGTAGCAGCAATATTCGCTTTGATTTCTTTGGCATGTGCTGAATATCGTCGTGATTTTGTTCTTCGCCATTCTTGGCGCGTCCCCAAAATATCCAAGAAAGCATTTGACGAATGAAGTCTAATGCTGAATAAGAAAAGTTTTTGACCACAATGTTTTGCGGTATTTCGCACAAGCACTTATAACACCGAAGCGCGTTGAAATATGTGAGGGAATCGATCTTGTGCTGCGCGCAAACATATGCTTACTGACGGCGTCAAAGCCTCGCGTTATTAAGGAAATAAAATTCACCGTAATTGCACGGGAGATGCGCGTCAGTACATAGAAATAAAATCGCGGATGTACTGAAAGCATTAATGACAGTTGTAATAAAAAACACGACAATTAAACACAGTTACGTATAACATAGACAATATGAATAGTTTTCGATAAATCGCTTGATACTGAAAATAGAAATATTTTGTGTCACATAATATTGTGATATTTTAATACATACTAATAAACTTTTAATATATATACCACTACATTAATTAATTAATAAATGTTTAATCTCACAGGAAAAAGTTTTCTCTTATAATCTGCTATGTATCGCCTTTTTAACTCCTTCTCATTAAACTGTATCTATATCTTTTTTTTCCTGTTTTACCTGGTACAGAATTTTTATTACGATCCCCTTAGTTGATGGAAGTTCTAAACTTTGTTTGGTTTTCATCTAAATTACGCTGCAGCCGCTCGTTATAAAGTTTTACAACTTATGAAAACGGCTGTAGCAGATGAATTTTATTTTTATATTTAGATACAGTTATATAGTGAATAAAATTGAAATTTTGCTGTTATGTAAATGTGCTAAGAAGAATAGAAATGTCTGCATATTGATGGACTTATTAATTTATATAATTTTTTGCATGAATATGATAAAATAAGTGATATAAACATCTTGTATTTAAATTAATGATTGAGAATTCCATTTTTAACAATTTACAAACTTTATTTGCATTTTGGATTAGCATTTGTATAAAGATCGAAATAGCTAATTTACTACATTTACATTTCTAAATATTCCTAGAACGAAGAATTCCATCATTATCATTCTCTTACGCAATTCTCCGTAAAATGGCGCATAATTTTCATTCGCGTAATGAAACGTTAACTGCTACATCATTAAAAACGAGCGCACGCTTACCGCCTTTCTTGCCCGATGACGCTATCATCTGTCCGAAATTATCTCCTTCACGCTTAAGGAGCTCGGCCCATCCAGCGCTCTCCAGATACATCCGGTATATATCCTTGCCGTTCGCGTTTTCACCCTCGTTTTCAGCGGATTCCGGGCGGAAAGCTCGGCCGACCGGATTCACGGGGGTGGATTGAGACATGCCGGGGTGTGGCCGGGCCCAGGGATTAACCCCCGCTGACAGCCAATCATATCCGAGACAGCCCCACCAGGTGGATGACTGCGAAACCCGGCTGAAACTGTCGCGCTCCCTCGCCATCCCCCGCAACAACCCCCACCGCTAATTGCCTTGGCTTTAATATCGCATGTGGAATGAAAGCCAGAGGAGGAAGTGGAGGAAGAGGAGGACGGAGGGGCAAGGGGAACCAAGGCGGCGAAGAGGGAGCGGGGAGGACGGTAACGCCGGTTGTAAGGCAACAGAATGCTGTAGAGTCCAGGAAGGGAGAGACTGCTTTGTATGTGTCGATCGCAATACCTACGTTCCTGGGCTGTCCGGAGTGGAGGAAGAGGAGAGATGGTGCGTATGAGACTATGCGTTCTCGAATTTTACACGCGCGCCCGCGCGTATGTAGCGGCAGCTAGCGGCACCATTAAGCTATAGATCATCCCCGATACGGATTCAATTTGGAAACAATAGATAGTACGGTTACTATTTACCGTCGAAATTGATATTTAGTTGGTTAATGATCTTCCGCATTGAGACCGACAAATATCGGTGAATTGAATTATCGAGTTTTCGCAATTGATAGATTTGTCCAGTCGATCGATGAGTGACGATGTGAGGACTTCATGGACGGCGAGAGTCAATTCTAGTCATTGTAATCGGCACAGATTGACATTTCCGGATGTACAGTTTAATTTTCGCTAACAAAATGTAAAATGTAAATGCATTTCTTACTTTCATTTATGATACAGTGTTAAACTACATTGACGCGCCAGTTAATGCTATGTTAATTGAATTCTTCGATAATTCTTATTTTAATATTTTGTGAATTGAGAAATGCGGATAAAAAACATTCCCGTTGATCGGATTGTCTATTCAAGCGTTTTGTCGGTCTGTACATTGAACTAAATTCGCTGAGGCGAATAGAAGTCTCGCTGGATCGTCTTTGTCTTATATATTGGCTCGTAAGGGTGGCTCTTATAAAGCGGAGCAATTATCCGGGTAAAATACTCCACGAAATTTCCGTGATAAATTTCAGGCCGTAATAAGGGTGAGTCGCAAGTCATTTGGGCGGCGATCAAGAGGGTGGGTATCGGGCTTCAATAGAAATTCTTTCGGACTCCCTACGGCGCGGGCCACCATTTAATTTATACATTTGTCGCCAATTTCATTTGAAATTGGCGACCCTGCTTCTCCTTCCCTTCGAGGATCTTCTTATCCAAAAGTTAATAATTACCAAACTAGGGAATGACGTGAAAGTAAAACAATGAAGAAATTCATCCGATGTATACTTTCTTTTTTGTAAATTCTATATATATATACGATTTTTATCTTTAACAAAAGATTGAAATCTTTTGTTTTATAAGTTAAAGATTTAAGTCTAACCAAGTTAAAGATTGGCGATATAATTATTGGCAAAAGTTCATAGCAAAGTTTGCATAATAAGAAATATACGATGCAATTACGAACTGGTTTGTGAAATAGTTTGAGAATAGCTTAAGTAAATTTGGAATTTATAGCTCAATCTTAACTTCATAATGGCTCTTCAAGCATAAAACTTTTATCAAGGATGTAATTTCACGCGCACGCCTACTTTGTGAAAGAGAGAACACGTGAATTTATTAATGACATGCATTATGCACTTATTAATTGCAAACAGAATTGCATATTTTTGTATGCGACGAAATCATTTTCATCTTTTTAGAATGTAATAATGAATATTTATACATTAATCAGCTTTAAAAAATATAATCAATACGAAATTTCTTTTGATTAAATTAATTATTCTTCGGTTGCAAATAAAGTATGTATTATTAAGATGGAATGCCATCATATCAACGAAAAGATAAGACCGTGCGTGCAGGAAGTCAATATGACGTAAAGACCTCGTTGTAATTAAGCTCTTGGCTTTGAGTTTAACCTCCTTAGAGGTTTTCCAAGGTACTGAAATTCCCGCATACCCGTCAACGTCTAATGAGGGGATTGTGGATGAAGTTTCAGATTGGCACGAGGCAATTAAGGAGGACCTATTTACCTCGACATCTTTAGAATATGTTAATAACTACGGTTACCTTTTCACAGCTGCGTCAGTCTTAATTTAATGATACAAAAACTATATATAAATCTGTACGTGTTTTAAAATTTTTTCCTTAATGCATTAAAACTGTACTTTTATTTTACACTGGTATTTTAAAATTTAAATAGAATTTCTCTGACTTTTTTCCAGAATATATTGAAATCTTGATATTACGTTATATAATTTTTACCAATTATTATCAAAACATACGAAAAATGTGAAGACATTGCAGTTTATTTTCGTTGCATGCAATAGATGTGTCTTTTTGCGATAATTTTGTCAGTGTATATTCTCAAAGTCTTTCCCTTGTAATAATTTTCTATAACTAATTTATGTTCATTATAATATTAGCATCCCCATGTAATTAGCTTAAGAATTCCACGAGTCAGCGCGAAATTTCGCAAGATAAATTGCGCGAAATTCCTCCCAATAATCCATAGCTGGTGAACTCTTCGATGCTGAAGACTATCTCAATCCAAGACGAGATAAGAAAGATCATCCGAACAAAATTAAACTACCTCATCATCATTAGGACCTAATTACCGGAAGATCTTAGACGCCGGATGACACCGTTGACGAGCGGTCGAAGCAAGCAAGGCGCTAACTACGGTCACGCACGCGCTCATCTTCGCCTCTACTGGTACGCCTTCTGGGAAGCCTGGTAGTGTCGGTATGAGCATCTTCAAGTAAGCTGCGTCGGTCTAGGCGAAAGCTTATTAATGGGTGCCTGCGAGGGACGAGGAAGAGTGCTCGCGGGACGGTGATGAGGAAGAACGGGTTGCGAGCCAGCGACGGCGGATGCTGGCTGGATCTCGCTCGAGGTGGAGGGTAGAAAAAAGTAACAGACTCCCCGCAAATAACCCCCACGGTGCTCGCGATAGGCGTGTCCTAACGATGGGGTGATGGCAGGATCCGGCCAACCAGGATCCAGCGACGACGAGCGCCCCAGCCTTCGCTCGTCGAATGAAAAAATATTGACCGTACGAAGGGGGGTATCCTGCGGTCCATTTGGGGGTTGTGGAGGTGAAACATAACGGTCGACTGATTGTTAGGGGTGGCGGGGGGTTAGGAGGGTTACGAGGCGGCGGGTGAATACCCTCCTCGTCACGTACGGGATCATTAGCTGGATATCCTTGGTCCCGTTGGCCAACCCTATCCGATAGCGGTGATCCTCGTGCTTGACATCATTATCCTTGGATGCTCCGAAGCGCCAACGCGATCCGACCATACCTCGTCGCAGGCGCCTTCGTACTTCGGTCTTCCGACACTGCTGCGTTTTCTTCTCGCTTTTTCGCCTCTTCCACGCATCCATCTTCGTCTTGTTCGTATTTGTCCATCAACTGTTCGGCACGTCGGGCGACGCACAGTTAATCGTTATACAGTGAATCTGTCTCGAAGAATCTGCGAGAATCGTGACAGTGCACGAATTGTTGCTCACTGCGAGATAATAATTGCGCGAAAATGGACGTGATTGTGATGGTGATCTAATGACTCTGGTTTTCGTCGCTGTGCGTTACGAGTGGATGGTAATTCAACATTACAAAAGAAATGACATAATCTGTTCAATGACAAGCACGTGATCACTTTTGATAATGACAAATAGATTTGTCGAATATGGCGAAAAAGAAAAACTGATTGGATATATTTAACCATTTGGTTGTCATTTTTGCGAGAAAAATTTGTGATAAGTGTTTGTGTGAAAATATATCATCGTATTCTAGACAAATTTTTGTTGCATTTCTCCGTCAAATTGAATTTGTTCTCTTAGAAGATATAAACTAATACGTCGTACAAGATAATAAAATAATTTGATGCTCGGTCAATCGTTTTGCGACGGCCGAATGTTTGGACACTATCATCCGTAATAATATCGTGAATCTAATATTGAGGAAAATAATAATTCAAGAATTGCGATGGAGACGAATGATCCGACGGGCAGATTAGCGACGGAAGATTTATCGGATTGCGTAAGCGATAGCAGCCATTCGGAATCTCAATTAAGAGCTTTTCAAAGTTATGAGCGCATTAAAGAGCTAAATTTATCAATTGATAAAACCAAAGAAGACGTATCGACGGAGCCGAAAGATTTCCACATTAGCCTCGAAAGCGGCGGCAGAACGGCTCTTCGATTTGATGAGTTTACGTGCGAAAATTCGGCAAGAAATCTGACTATGACGCTGAACAAGACCAAGGATTTCAGTTATTCCGCCAATAATTTGAATGAAATCAGCTATCCGCTGGATAGACCAAACGAGAACGAGGAATCAGCAGACGTCACGACGGCGCTTTGCAGATCTAAAAACTCCACCGCCAAGAATGTGCTGTTTAATCTGCGTGAGACCAAACAAAGGAGCCCTCACGCGTCGTTATCCTCCTTGGACAGGTATAGCAAGGACCTCAACTTTGTGGTGGAGAAGGAAATGAAAGACTTTGGCTTGCTCAAGAATTACGGTCTCGATCGCATGAAGGAGTTCAATTTTTCTTTAGACAGAATGAGAGACAGCCACATTAGCAGCTTGGCTCTCGAGAGACTGCGCGGCGGCGCGGGTCTGCTGGAAAATCCGAACATGCTGGAGCATAAGGAATTTAGGAATTTGCAAGTGCAACCGAGGAATCCTGATCTCGAAGCCATTGCCCTGGAGCGTATGAGACGTTCGCATCTGCTAGGCACAGAACTATCCGCGCAAAACTTGTCAACGCAAGTGCCACATTCACACTCGATCACCCACATGCAACACTCTCAGCAACAACAGCAGCAGCAAGCGAAATCATTCACTATCGACGCGATTCTAGGCCTGAGAAATAATCAGCGGGAGAAGCGAAGTCAACAGCAACAGTACAGAAAGCACCAGGGTATTTATAATAAATTTAGTTCGTCTTTCGGCTGTTTTTGAATGCATTCTTTCTGTTTAATACAAAAGAACATAATTTATGCAAGAAACTGATAATTTTAATTAGTTTACTACTTGTCTAATTACTTATATAATGTCAAAATAATATATTTTCTAAAATTTGTTTAATTTTCTTTGTAGCACATATTGAATTGTTACACAAAATTATTTATTTAATATAAAAAAATATCGTTTATAGTCATAATAAATATTTTAAATATGTAAGTAATCAAGAAAAAAGAAATGGTTTATGAATCTCGCGTTAAGTAAAACGATTATTAAGTAATTTTTTGTATTAAAATTATTCATTTATCAAAATTAGAATCGCAATTATTACAAAAAATTTATAATCAAAATTTAAAAAAATTGATTTCAAAAACACGAATGCATATAAAATTTTATTTTTAACGAGTCACCTTATATGATGTATTATTCAGTTAAATAAAAAACAATCAAAATGCTTTTATATATCATAAATTATATGCTTCTGTGTTGAAATCTGTAACTGACTTCAGACAAATTTTAGTTTTTATTGGAATGTGTCAAACATCTAAATTTTTAACGTTAAAGTAATGGTATTCAGAATTTTAATTACTCTATATTTAAGGTACCATATACTTTTCGCTATTTCTGCCAGCTTTTCAATATATCAATATATTTTAACGTATACAGAAAATTTAACCTCATCACAAAGTAGTAAATTCGTTATATTTCTTGCATACATCTTTATGTTTCAAAAAAGTTTCTGTAGGATTTTATCCAATTTTCCATTTTAACGACTGTAATTAAATCTCCCTGATCCATCATTGTCCTTTACGTTAATTCGCCATTTATACAGGTCAGGAAGGCTCGACGAAGAACGGTAGTTCGACTTCCGCTTCTACTGGAGGCGGCAAAGTAAAAAGAGTGCGGACAATTTTCACGGCGGAACAATTGGAGCGTCTGGAGGGCGAATTTGCACGTCAGCAATACATGGTGGGCCCTGAAAGACTGTACCTGGCTCATGCACTTCGGTTGACTGAGGCTCAAGTCAAGGTCTGGTTCCAAAATCGTCGCATCAAGTGGCGAAAGCTACATCACGAGCAACAAAGTCAGAGGGTGCACGAGTTTCAACACTCGTTGAGCTCGTCGTTGGAGCACGAAGATAGCAACGAGGCCGACAAATGGTGAAACCGGAATTTCCGATCTATGCGTTCCTCGATCGTGACTGTCACTTTGCTTTTTTCTCCTTAACTACGCAACCCCTTTCCTTTCGCTATACTAGGAAGCCGAGAAGTCGTTCTACACGCCGATGTAGTTGTGAACAAAATTTCTAACGTGCACTTATCGGTCTCTTGAAGAAGTATTGTTTCCGATAACTTCTTACAAAGTGTCCACGCATCTTTCTTCCTCCACTCTCATTCCTGTGCTAACTGTCTTGTTAGTCCTTGATATTATATGTATCACGAGACTTCCGAGTATTCTTTGAAAAAATTATACATGGATTGAGAATAATAACGAAGAATTATGTATTGAAAAAAATTACGATCCTTATTATGTCAAAGTGGGTTTTTTTATTTTTTAAACAATTTTTTTCATATATTAGAATTTAAAATCGTAAAGAAAAGCCAATACGTTTAATAGAACATTTTAATTTTATCGTGTTTTCAAAGAATCGTAAGGAATCGTAAAATTAAGTGCAAGCTATACTTGAACCGAATTTAAACATTTCAATGGACGTATTAAACAATAATAAAAAAATTGTGCCAAAGATAGTGTAAATAGAGAAATATTACAAACAATAAGAAACAAAATTTGATGAAGGTGGAGTGCAAAGTATGAGAATTGAGACATTGAAAAGATTCTACGCCACTTTTGATGACATTTAAATATCTACGCAAGCCTTTTGACAAGAATGGAGCAAACTGGAAAAAATAAGACAAAATATACTTCACAACACACATCTACGTGGTCTAATAAACAAACCACTGATGCTAGAGTTCCATCTGATGCGTATTGGAAATATAATCACAGGAACGATCAAGATACCACTGATAAAAATATTAGGTAATTAAACGCAAATAAAACGCATACCATAACTTTTTAATTAGAAATAATTTTCTAATTTAAAAAATTTATTTTTTACTAGTTTAATTCTGCCAAACTATCAATTAATATATAAGTGAAAATTTTTTCAATCAAAAAATTATTTAGTATACATTTTTATATACGTGAATGATACTTTCAATCAAAATTGTTTGCATCATATTTGTACAATCGAAAATTCGGTATTTAGTTTCATATAAAAATATTAATTTCACATAATTAATTTTTTGATGGAAATATTTGATGTGAGTGATTCAAAGTAGTTTTACGATTTTTAGACGCCATAAAAGTCCTATGCCAGAACAAGCAGTGAATTATTATACCTCCGGAAATTCTTATAAGACTCTTAAACATCATACTTATCCATATTCGACACATCTGAAAAATTCTCCTGCTCTTCAAACGGAGTTACCACATCGATATCAACAAACTACTACAAGATCTGGTAAAAACAAAGATTATACTAAAAATGTTCCTGGCGTAAACAAAGATCGGTATAAAAATCAGCAAGAAAATGACAACAATGTAGGATATGTCGATGAAGGACTAGGAAATGTTACGGAAGATAATTTAGAGGACGATGTTGAAGAAGAAGGTATAGCAATGTGAATGTTATTTAATCCATCTTTCTTTCCATTAAAGTCTATCGTATATTCTAAGAGAAATATTGACAGTTGCATCAGATATATATCGGAAAAATATAAAAAAGTAAAATGAACAAAAGATAAAGAACAATAGGAGGATTAATGTCGAAAGATACAATAATTTCCTACCTGATAACTATAAAAAAATGCTCTATTATTTATAAAATAATTACAGAAGACCAAAGTGTGATAAAAAGCACAAAATCCTTTTTTATACAACCATATTTAATCTATTAAAATCAAATATTACCATAGTAAATGAAAACGATCAAGAAAGGATCGGGGAATCTCTCAATAAAGAATACGATGAGCAAGAGGCAGATGATGAGATTGATGAAGAATCCGATGCGCCTGCCGAACCACACGCGATACAACGAAATGCAGCTAAAAAAGATGCATTGCTGCGAGCACAGCAACGATTGCGAATAATGAATCAGCAACAAGATCCGCATAGAATTCATTATTCTCCAAATTCTCAGCATCCGCCGAAATTGTATCAAGCTCATCCTTTAGCAACAAGGTTTGTAACATAAATACTTCATATACAAAAAATATCTTACTAAATCTTTGATCTGATAAGCGATAGCTAACTGTTTTGTAATCTGCCTTTAAATTAAAAATTTATATAAATATTTTTATAACATTTTTTGCTTTATTTTATTTTCTTAGTTCTTATTATTTCCTAATTTATGTTAGCTTAATCATACTATTGGACGGACAGTCCATTCAAAACTAATGAAGAACTAAACGGATTGCACGCGACAAAGTAGCATGAATCAGAAATCAGAGACATAAATGCACGTTAACCAGAATTAACGAGAACGCAATAATTAATCGGCTTTTTAATGATAAATTATCTGTATTATGCTTTTTGTTCGGTATTCTCTTTAATCATATGTATTCTATCATCAATACGTCAAATGTCTGCGAGATGCCCATGTGACTAGGTACTATCACAATATACCTGATCACGATATCCACGAGGCATTGTCAGAGGAAGATCTGTACACAACTCAAGTCCTGAAAAATCCTCCTCGAAGATTATCAGCGGGTTATCATCAAAATTGGATTCCGCAGAGGAGTTCAACCGATCGATATGACACAACAACTTCACCAATCCAGCTAAGTCGCCGGGCACGGACGAGGCCAGAAATGAAGTCCTTTATGGAGGCAGAATTTGCCGACAGGAGAAAGTGTAGCCGTTGTGGTAATGTCTCGATCAGAAAACCGTCAATTTCGAGAAGAAACAACTACAGATACCAGGATAATTCTAATTTCTCGGCTAAGGCGCATTTTGGTAAGCAAATCGCAATAAAATTAAAATGATTATATTTGTCGTTAATAAATGGCCAAAAAGTAATTTTTTTTAAATTTATTTACCTAATTAAATTTTATTTTGTTTTACTTATTCGATTTCATCGTCACATTTCACCGGAAATATTATTCAATAGCTGTAATAGCTTTAAATATTATTATTCTGTTTAGTCGACGATGCCGAGATTCTCGATCAATCCTGGTGCGGTCATTGTAAACCAAAACACCACTTTGAAGAAAATATGGGACCTTGTGAAATTCCATCACCGATTTTATACACGATGAAATCACGACGCTCCAGAGACACTAATATACCAACGCACGAAACATTGGAGGAAAAGCGTGTGATGGACGAGTTATCGCACGAATACGCACGACTACCAACTAGATACATTAAAGATACGCCAAACATTTTACGCGATAGGATCAGACATTCTGTACAGACAGCGCAGAGCCCACTAACCAGGATGTCCAATCGTTATGATCCTTAAACCATTCTTCTCAAAATTTGTCTTTTACAAACCCAAGAAAAAAAAATTGCAGACAATTTTGTGCAAACTTGCACAAATGCAAACTTCTTTCCTGGATAATTTTTCAAGAATATGATGTCTCCAGAAAATATTGAAATTTATTTTGTGTTCAACAAGAACAACAATTTTCAAAATAAAACCTTCGAATTATTTTTAAAAGTAATCTCCTGCATGTTATAATGTATATGTAGCATCGTCTGACTGCTAATTATTAAAAAAAAAATTATCATGAAATATCTTATTATGCTTTACGAAAAGGAAAAAGATATTTAAGAGCAAGGAGAAGGATTTATGTGCATTTTCTAAATGTGCTATTTCGAGACTATCTTTCACTGAATCGTAGTGTTAAATACATTAAACACCGAGGAGCCTGAGGAAAGATCCGTAGAAATAAAGTTATCGAGAATTGATATGATAAACATAACGAGAGATGCCATTGCACCTTGTAACAATCACAAAAATGCTACAATAATACCTTTTATCCACAGTCATTTCCCTTCTACCAGTTGTCCAACATATATTTTTGTAACTGTCTTTCGAATCGTGTAGATGTACTCTGTGTAGTATGATAAGAAAATTATGCCACAACGGCGCAAAAAGTTAGTTTCGCAATGTACATAATAACTTTGAACTGAAGTTGATGTCGAAGTAATTTGAAGTCCTCTTTCTTCTTGTAATTTCGAAGAGGTGAATTTTACTTTACGTCTTTTGGCACTGGCGCACAAAATCAATTGTAAATACGTGATATTATTATATAATTGATTATATACGATAGACGTACGCGTACATGTTAAACGGAGAATAAACTCTCACTCTGTACATTGAACACAAATGGTCTGTTTATAATTGACCCCTGATTAATATCCATATTTAAATTAATATCCCAAATCCATATCAATTTGTCATAATTTTTTATATCATTATTTGGTAAAGTTACGATTGCTATTAGGTTTTTCATTTATATATAAAATGATTTATAACTTAAAGAATATCATTCAATTTAGTTCTATCATACAAAAAAAATTTAAAGCGGACAAATGTGAATTTCTTTAAATTTTTTGTGATTGCGACAAATAGATTGCTATTTTAAATTTTTCGAAAAATATGGTAAAAAGAATCACCATAATCTCTTACGCAAATTCTCAAACGATTTTTGCTCCGCTCGTGGTCAAAGTCGGAGGAGGGAGTGTAGCTTTTTATGAGGGCTACTAACCGGGCACAAAGGAAACAGCTCTGACTGAAGCTTTTGTTTAAATATTAATAACGTCCAGAAATTCTCTGTCGCGCTCACGCTGGAAGATTACGCTTTATTCACACAATTAAACTTAATATTCTTTTTACATCAGCGCACTAAAAGTTGATGTTATTTATTCTAACTTATTGTATTGAGGTAATTTAAATTTTCATAAAATAATTAAATATCTTGTTCATTTACATCTTGCTTAATAAGCAAATTATGCCTACAGAAAAATATGAATAAATATAAAATTTCTTTACGGTACGTATCATAAAATAAATATTATTACGAAATAAGTAAAAATTAAATTAACAATGTCATGACATTATCTTCTAATTTTTATCAAAGCTTAATAATTTACATAATTATTGATAAATACATTTTTTTATTTTTAATAATTTTGAAATATTAAGCAATTCTAAGAACTAAAACAATAATTTTACTTTGCTATGAAATATGTAAAAGACTATTAATGCACACATAAATTGCATCACACGTACTATTCTTCCATATAAAAATTTGACATGGATGATGGTTAGTAACTAATATTCGCTCGTTACGCGGGAGCCTCATTGTCGCCGTGATAAATTAGCATACGACCCACGTCAAAGCATCACAAAAAGCCCTTGATGCACAATCATGTAGACTTCGCCATCACGGAGAGATACGGAGAAAGATATCAATCAATTCGTAATATACCATTTCATCACAAATTTCATTTGTCCAAAATCAATTAATACGGTTATTACCATCATGAAATCCTCTTTATAATTAACATCATCATGTATACATTAAAAGTTATTATCGGTAAATCATAAATTGTTATTACAAATATAAATTAATCAAGCAATTTTATTTAAATTATTTTTTTGTTTTTCTAATTAAAATTGAATAAATTAAATATGAAAAATTGATGCAAAAAGTTAGTGTTGAGCTACAAAATCATCTTAAAATTTTTTTAAAGCTATTAAAGAAACGTAATAATTTTGTTCTCCATAATTATTGTGTACTGTGATTTAATGATAATATTACAAAATTTTTAATTCTGTAAGAATAATCATTTTTCTATTTTTTTTATATTTTTCTTATTCTTTTTTTCGTCTGCGAAGAAATTGATAATTTGCAAAATTCCTAGAAACCAGTGGATCGTCGTACAAAGAAGCTCATGCGTAGATAAAGCAACACGATGAGATCGAAATCGTCACGAGGCGAAAGGGAAGAACGAAGGCGAGATGAGCTTCGATATCTCGCGCTACAACCCTGTGCGAGATGTAAGCTCCGCCTATCCCTCGGTTACAACAGGACTTGCAAGAGCCCTGCAACCCCCACCTTTCGGTGGAGGGTATCCCAACCCCTGCTCCATCGTCGTTGGCATCCGCGGCATTCCAATTAGCTCGCGAATCAAAAGAGCCCCACTGCCTTTGTGGGGTCTCACCCTACCCCCAGTAAACTCGCTCGTTCTCTCTCTATCGCCCTATCTCGTTAACCACCTTCTCTCTGTCCGTCTATCTATCCGCCTTGCTATCTGCTTTATCGCACTTTCCATATATTTATCTTTCTGTCTAAATCACTACGCTCACATACGTGCAGTCCTCCGTGCAGTACTTTACATGTGGCGCGCGTGTTTCATTAGTCGCGCGCTTGCAACGTATTTTTTCCAGATATAAAATTACATCACCACATGATATTTAAATCATCTGACATTTAAATCATTGACAGTGAGATGTATTTACCTTGTGCATCGAGAAACATTTAATATTGTTGTAATACGAGATTAAACGCAATGTCAGAATACGATGCCGAAATGATACGCATTCGAGAAATAGAAAAATAAATTGCCATGTGGAAAATGAATGTGCACACAGATCTACAATAATGATCAGATATATTCAGCGAAATTTTTCAGATTACGTAATGGCTCTTTAGCTTTATCTTTTCTCCTTTATCAAATTATTATTTTCATCTCTTCTATGTGAAATGTAGACAAATAATAAAAGAAATCTCTTTCATACCGTCCTTTCGACCTTCATTGTGCACCTAGTCTCTCTTTTTATTTTGCATCTTTTTCCGTTTAAGACCTCCCTCTCTTTGCCTGTTACTACCTCACTGCTTATTTGTTGCTCTTTTTATCGTTCTCTCACCCTCACTGAATCGTTTTCTCCTTCTCTGCGTTATAGTCTGCGTCCTTCACCTGCGGGCGGGCTTTTTGCTGGAATAAAACCAAGCAACGGTAAAGAGCGGCCGTTACGAGAGGATGGAGGAAAATGGGACGGAGATGGGATTAACCGCAGTTTTAATCGTGAACCCTCTTCTTTGACGGACGAGATTCATATAAACGCATGAGCACTTTAGTGAAACGACCGAATTATATTGTTCGCCTTTAAAAGCTATGCAAATTTTTATAGGCGGTTTGAATATATAGTAATACGCTAATAATATATACCAATTATTTTTGTAAAATATAAAAACACGAAAGATAAATATCTCTGAACAATAATGTGCAAATGTATATGAAACAAAAATATTATTTATAATAACTGGAAAATTTCTGTATGTACTGAATAATGGATAAAATTTCAAAAAAAGCAAATTATATTTTTTCTAGATATGTACACGCTTGAATTTTATAACCTTTATATACTTCAATATCATCCATATGCCAGGGAAATACTAAATAAAAAAAATTTACGAGATTAAAACGGTGCTATTCCTAAAGATTCCAAAAACGCAATATTGTTGGAGTATATTTCAAGACATTCAGAAATATGACGAAGCAGATTTCAATATCCCGGCCGGCCGAATGACAAATTGGTATTGCAAAGCGACTCTCGACGTTTCCCTCGACCTTCCGCGTTTTTACTCAAACGGGCATCCATATACACCAGTCGCTCGGGGTAATTGAAATCGGAGGAAACCGCTCGTGGTGTTTCCCCCGACTCGGTCACGACGGAACGCAACACAAATTTTATTACGGCGCGCCTCTATCCACTTCGTTAGATACCACTTTGTTTATCATTCGTGGATATTAAAATTGTCGGTATGATGTGTACGTAGATGTGTATCCAGCATCGTTTCGCTATTTGCTCGCGTACCAATTCTCCAAATTTCCATATTTTTTCAACTTATTCTTTTCTCAAATATTTAATCTAACAATTATGATAATATTTGAATATTTCATTAGTCACAGTTAATTATAATAACGTTAAAATTAAAAATTCTGTATTGTTTTATACATAATTAAATATTCAAAATTTCTTTTTGAATGCCTTTATTTTTCTCTGAATCTGTTATAAAATATAAAATATGAAAGTTGAGATAAATATTAGTAATTTAAAAATATTTAATAAATGTTTAAATATAATTTAATACAAGGAACGATATTGTTTAAACGACAAATTTTTTATGTAAATATTACGTAAAATAATACTATTAACAGCAATAGTATAATGCGTTGAAAAAGATAAAGTGACGTGGAGACAGCAATCGTGCATAATGCAAGTTTCTAGGCAAGATCAAAGAGCATTCCACCGCTTGAAGCACGCAATCTTCACTTTATCCTACCGTTAGATTGATATCAAACGTACAATCTCCGGAATCTGCAATTTGCATGTGCAAATGCAAATCTATGCACTGATATTAACAACAAGTATGACTAAATGTAACATATTTTTGTCTATTCTTTATGTTAAATGTTATAAAAATTAGTTGTTACAAGTATGAATATTTCAAGTTAGGAATAATATTTTTAGCTCTCACTTTTAA